ACCGTACCTCCAACACACCCACCAGCCAATCAGGAGCAAATATGAATATAAATCCAAACAAGATGGCTGAGGTAATGGAGAATAGGAAGGAGGCTTGGGTTTCCCCGGCAGTGGAGGAAGCACAGCTTTCCAACACACATCATAGCCATTGCCGCCCCAGGCTTCTGCTTAAGGTTAAAACGTTTCAATTATAGAAGGTAAATAAATCTCAACAGAAATGGCTGTGGCCACCAAGCAAGCAGAAGGCTTGGCTCTGCTCCAGGCTACAAAGTTTCAACTGTAGAAGATACATAAATCCCAGATACCAGGGCCTCTGCTTGGGTTGTCTGGGGGCGGTGGCTGGCCTGAAAAACTACCACAGGACCCTTGCCCAGGCTACCCCAAGCCCCAAGGGAACACCCACTCTGATCCAGGACACCCTTCAGGGCAAACTAGCTGGCGCCCACCTATGCACCAGGCCTCTATCCTATCTAATAAAAGAGTAATATGCAAATTGATCACTCCAACACGTAAAATGGCTGCCCCAATGTGGTCAAAGATCCTGCCCTCATGTGGACACAAGATGACCACCACAAGATGGCTAGCAGAGGAGGGAAGTTGAGAGGGGACAGACCTGCAAGGAAGGGCAGTTGGGGGGTCAAGGCCTATAGGAGAGAGCAGTTGGAGGGGACCAGGCCTGCAAGGGAGGACAGTTGGGGTGATTAGACCATCAGGGGAGGGCAGTTAGGGGCGACCAGGCTGGCAAGAAAGCAGTTAGGCATCAATCAGGCGGTCAGGGGAGTGAGTGGTTAGAGGGTGATCAGGCTGGCAGGCAGAAATGATTATGGGGCAATTAGGAAGGCAGGCAGTTGAGCAGTTATGAGCAGGAGTCCTGGATTGTGAGAGGGATGACTGAGTGCACGTTTAGGCCCGATACTGTTGGGATCAAACGGGCATTCAGACATCCTTCAAGGGGTCCCAGATTGGAGAGGATGCAGGTTGGACTGAGGGACAACCCTCCCCCCCAATGCACAAATTTTGAGCACTGGGCCTCTAGTGTGTAATATGCAAAGTGTCTAATATGCAAAGTGTCTCCTTGGGAATTTGGAAGTTCGATCACTCACTATGATGAGTGCTGAACACCAGGAGACAGCACAAAATGAAGGAAGGCCCCAGCTGGCACCAGAAAAAAAAACCTGGCCAGCAGCTGAAAGGCCAGATTATCCCTGATTGCCAGCCAGGCCTAGGGAACCTACCCATGCATGCATTTAGTGCACTGGGCCTCTAGGTGATAGATAAAACAATAAACAATCAATACACACAATAATATAATATGTGTTATGTGCTGTGAGTCAGCTCTGACCCTGAGGACCTCATGAATTAATGATGTCCACAAAATCCTACTTTTAAAAGCCCTCTCAACTCTTTTTAGACTCATGCCTATGGCTTCTTTATGGAGTCACTCCATCTCATATTTGATCATCTTCCTTCCTGGTGCCTTCTATTTTTCCCCTCATTATCTTTTTCAAAGAACCCTGCCTTCTCATGATGTCCCTGAAAAATGAAAGTATCAGTTTTGTGATTTTTACCTCCTGAAATATTTCAGGATTAATTATGCTCTATGGGCCACTTGTTGTCTTTCTGGTGGCTCAGTAATGTCGACAAACATTACTAAGTCTTAAAATTTAAGGAAATTCTAACACGTGCTATAACTTAGATGAACTTAAAGACATTTTGCTAAGTGTAAAAGGACACACACAAAAAGTCAAATACTGCATGATTCCACTTACATATAAGGGATTTAGACTAGTCGAATTCATAGAAACATAAAGAAGAATGATAGTTGTCAGGGACTTTTAAAATGGGAAATGGAGAATTACAGTTTAAGAAATATATAGTAAAAATTTTCAAGATGAAAAAGTTCTGGAGATGGATTATACAACAATAGAATATATATACTATTGAATTATACACTTGAAATAGTTAAGATGAAAAGTATATTATGTGTATTTTTTTTTCAACCACACTTAAACATGTTTATTGTGAGCATGTAAATAACACTGCTTGAACTCAAAACTCTGGTAGAAATTGAGGTTTCTGATGACCATAGAAATAGAATAACAGCATTTTTTTAAATGCCCCTTTTTTCAATACAGCAAGGCACTACCAAGGCATTTCAAGGTTTATTGAGAGGTAGAAGCAGTATGTGGTATGATAGATCTTGCATACTTTACTCAACATAATTAATTGATAATAAAACATTATATTCATGATCTTTTATATTTTGTACTTTTATATTAAATTTGCTACTTTTCTTTAAAAACAGGAAGCCTTTTCAAGCATTTATGATGCACAATAGAAATTAAAAAAATATATAATAGTTGAACAAAAGGGAAAAGTAATAAGTGTTATGTTATAGAAATGTGTTAAATAGTTTGTAATAGAACAAGAGCACACACATAAGAGATTAATAATACTATTGTTCTAAAACCTTGACTATTTTTTATGCTCAAAAAAATTTCCACAACCATGGTAGGCAAACTTAGTTTTGTGTACACAGCTAAGAAACCTAGATAAGTTATAATTGTATCTATTATACTGATTAGTACAGTTGTACATACCTACATTTATTATCATATACAACATGATTAACTTGCCAATTGGCAGTAATTTTCTTTTTTTTCTTTTCTTTTCTTTTTATTTTTCTTTTATTAAATTATCTGTGTACATATTTTAACATTGCTCCCCCTCCCATACATACCCTTCCTCCCCAGAATTTTGTGTCCATTGTTTGTACTTATATGCATGTATACAAGTCCTTCGGTTGATCTATTATCTCCTCCAGATCTCCCTACCCTCCCCGCTGTAATTTGACAGTCTGCTTGTTGCTTTACTGTCTTTATATCTATCTTTTGGTTCACAGTTTATAATGTTCTTTATTATCCATAAATGAGTGAGGTCATATGGTATTTCTCTTTCATTGACTGGTTTATTTCACATAGCATGATGTTCTCCAATTCTATCCAGGTTGGTGCAAATGATGTGAATTCCTTCTTTTTTATGGCAGCATAGTATTCCATTGTGTAGATGCACCATGGTATTTTGATCCAATCATCTGCTGACGGGCACCTAGGCTGATTCCAGATTCTAGCTATTGTAGATTGTGCTGCTATGAACATAGGGGTGCATATATCCTTTCTGATGGGTGTTTCTAGTTTCTTGGGATATATTCCTAGGAGTGGGATTACTGGGTCAAATGGGAGTTCCATTTTCAGTTTTTTGAGGAAACTCCATACTGTTCTCCACAGTGGTTGCACCAGTCTGCATTCCCACCAGCAGTGCATGGGGGTTCCTTTTTCTCCACAACCTCGCCAACAATTGTCGTTTGTTAATTTGTTGATGTTGGCTACTCTGACAGATGTGAGATGGTACCACATTGTTGTTTTGATTTGCATCTCTTGGTAATTAGTGACTTTGAGCATGTTTTCATGCGCCTCTTGGCCTTCCTTCTGTCTTCTTTTGAAAATATTCCATTTAGGTCCACTGCCCATTTTTTAATTGGATCATTCATTTTCCTTTTATTTAGTTGTATAAGCTGTCTATAGACGTTAGAGATTAAACCTTTATCAGTGATAACATTTGAAAATATGTTCTCCCATACAGTGGGCTTTCCTGTTGTTGTGTTGATGGTTTCTTTTGCTGGAAAAAAAAAAAAAAAAAAAAAAAAAAAAAAAAAAAAAAAAAAAAAAAAAAGTCTTTTATTTTGATGTAGTCCCATTTGTATATTTTCTCTTTAGTTTCCATTGCCCTAGGGGCAGTATAAGTGAAGAAGTTCTTTTGGCATATGTCTGAGATTTTGCTTCCTGTGGATGACTCTAGTATTTTTATGATTTTCCGTCTTATGTTTAAATCCTGTATCCATTTTGAGTTATTTTTGTGTATAGTGTAAGTTGGTAATATAGGTTCATTCTTTTGCATGTATCTGTCCAATTTTCCCAACACCATTTATTGAAGAGACTGTCTTGACTCCATTGTATATTTGTGCCTCCTTTGTCAAATATTATTTGAGCATAGTGATTTGGGTTGATATCTGGGTTCTTGATTCTATTCCATTGATCTATATGTCTGTTCTTGTGCCAGTACCAGGCTGTTTTGAGAACAGTGGCTTTGTAATACAGTTTGAAGTCTGGTATTGAGATCCCTCCTACTTTACTCTTCTTTCTCAGGATTGCTGTGGCTATTTGGGGTCTTTTATTGTTCCAAATGGACTTTTGGAGAGTTCTTTCTAGGTCAGTGAAATATGCCATTGGTATTTTAATGGGGAGTGCATTGAACCTATAGATTGCTTTAGGAAGTATGGACATTTTGATGATGTTGATTCTACCAATTCATGAACATGGTATGTTCTTCAATCTGTTTACATCTTCCTCTATCTTTTTTTTTCAGTGTCGTGTAGTTTTCCGCATATAGGTCCTTTACTTCCTTAGTTAAATTTATTCCTAGGTATCTTCATTTTTTTGGTGCCATGGTAAATGGAATTGCTTTTTTAGTCTCTGTTTCTGTAAGTTCACTGTTGGTGTACAGAAATGTCATAGATTTCTTGGCGTTAATTTTGTATCCTGCTACATTGCCAAATTCATTTATTAAGTCAATTAGTTTTTTTTAAGTGTATTTTGTTGATTTTCTACAGAGAGGAAGGGAGAGAGATAGAGAGCTAGAAACGTCGATGAGAGAGAAACATTGACCAGCTGACTCCTGCACACCCCCTACCGGGGATGTGCCCACAACCAATGTACATGCCCTTGACCAGAATCGAACCTGGGACCTTTCAGTCCACAGACCGAAGTTCTATCCACTGAGCCAAACCGGTTTCAGCATCACTTAGTTTTTTAATGGATTAAAATAACAAGAACTATACTAATAACTTCTTATGATACTTAATTTTCTCTTTGGCTATTTGTAGCAAAACTTTAGTGTTCACTATGCTACTTTTGTAATGGAAAAAAAATTTTCCTTCCCAGGAAATGGAAGAGTTTGCCCAGAGCTCTGGAGAAAATGGTATTGTGGTGTTTTCACTGGGGTCAATGGTCACTAACATGACAGAAGAAAGAGCCAATGTGATTGCATCAGCGCTTGCCCAGCTTCCACAAAAGGTTAGATAAACTACCTTAGAGCAGAAAACTAATGAGTGTGTTAAACTCTGTAAAGGGTCTGATTAAGAAATGTCTACATGGAAGGTAAAGTATTAGGATAGCTTTTATGATCCTAGATATCAATTTTAAAAACAAAATACACATGCCAGGTGCTAAAGTAGTACAGAGGGTGTTTTTGATGGATGATAACTTTGGCATTTGCATTCTGGTCACAAAGAAGTATATTTCAAAAGTATAGTGTGAAATTTGGTTTGATAATAGTATTATAGGACAGTAACAGATATCACCAAATCCTATTCCTTCATTTCCTTGCAGCATTCTAGAGTACTGTACACACTACAGATGTTCTCAGAATGGACTTAGATTTTAACATTAAATGGGGAATGATAACAGTCTAAAATTTAGACTTGCCTGGTAATCCAGGCCTCTCCTACTTTCCCTGAATTTTGGATTAGGTATATTCAGTGTTGCAAGGTGATATTCAGAGTAAGGATATTCAGGGCTCACCAAGTTGCAACAAAGTATCTAAGCCAGCCACCATGAGAGAAAAAACAAAAAACAAAAACATCCTGTAAAAGGAAAAAGAACCTTCCTGATGACCTGTGCCCTGCTAAATTCTAAAGCAGGAACACATAAAAGCAAGGGTGGAGGTGGGTTCAGCCCTCCAGATGACCCAGTGCTGTATACTATGTGGCTCCTAAACAACCCATCAGAATAATGACTTCTGATGAAGAAGGAGGAGAAAGAGGAAAAAGATGATGATGATGATGATGATGATGATGATGAAGAGGAGGAAGAGGAGGAGGAGGAGATAAAGGAGAGGAGGAGGAAAAGAGAGATGAACTGGTGGGGGAGGAAGATGAGGAGGAGAACATGGAGGGGGGGAGAGGAGATGAAGGGAGAGGAGGATGAAGAGGGATATAAGTAGGAGGAGGAAGAAGATGAGAAGGAGATAAAAGAGTCAACCAAAAGCAAGCCTAGTGTGGGACAGTTTCAGATGCTCCTCCTTCCCATAAATTATGGTAGTGAATTATGCTAATATATAAAATATATTTGAAGTATCCTGGTAATAGTGAATTACTTTTAGTTTCCTAACTTATGTAGCTTCCTCCCTATCACCTATGCAAATTTGCTGAGAACTGGAAGTAACTTTAACACTCACATAGAAAAGAAATGTTAACCACTTACAAACTAGAATCCAGCTTACTGGTGGACTTACAAATTGCTTGGCTATTTATAATTCATTAACCATATTAATCAATGCTGTCAGTGCATTGTAGCATGTTTTGAAATATTCACAGTCAAATTAATTAAATTTATCATCATCATTATATATAATCTTTTCAACAGGTAAACTATTATTTATAAAGTGCCAATGGCTTTTCTACATTTTAAGAAAATTTCCCATCCTAGTTAAAGTGATAATACTGGATTTGGGTAAAAGTTACCACTTAAAAGTGGTGATTAATAAATAGAAAACTAAAAGAAGGTAAATATATTAATTAAGCAAGTATTATTTATTATTCTTAATAATCTATTAAATATCAGAATGATTTGATTCTAACAAATAGCTGATTGCATTGATTTTGCAAAGCAAATGATGTAAAACTCAAAGATAATTTATGAAATTAGTGAATATAAGTAAACCACTTCCCCATCATTCAAAAATAAACAAACAGGTTAACATTAAATCTAGATGATGAGAGCTAGAATAATAAATAAAATAAATGTGTAGACTATTAATTAGCTGTGTTTTGTACTACAATTATATGATTACCTAAAAAAATTTATATGCTTGTATTGGTGATTCTCAATTTCATTGATCTAACCCCAAAGTGTGAAACATCCTGACTGCATTGATACCTGACTGAATATAAAAATAAGTAACCCACAATATGAGTACCTATATCTCTTATAACAATAGGTTTAATTGGTTCTCATTATCAACATGTCTTGTCCTCATTTCTTTACCTGTAATATATCAGTGGTTTAACTAGATGTATCTTAACCTATTTAGAATTCTAAAATGATATAGCTCTGCAGTTTGACTCAAGTAATACATTACTTTCTTTACCCTAACAGGTTATATGGAGATATGATGGCAAAAAACCAGATACCTTAGGGCCAAACACTCGGCTCTATAAATGGATCCCCCAGAATGACCTTCTTGGTAAGATTCTGGAAAACCCTGAAATCAGAATCAAGTCAACCAGAATGATAAAACAGTTCACTAGGATAGAAATGTATTGCACATTTCTTCTTGAAAACCTCAAAAATAAAAATGAACTTCCCAATATTTCTTTCCCAGTCTTAGGGGGAAAGGATAAGCTATAACAGTTGGCATCTTATTTTACACAGCCACTTCCTTATGGCCATAATCAAAAGATCTTTATTTCAAGTGTAATTCCTCTCAGAGGGAATATCTCAACATTTTCCCATTTGTCAGTCTGCCTCCTAATTCTCTCCTTACACCAATGGTTTAACCCACAGTAAGGGTGTACAAGTGTCCCTGAAAAATATCACAGTAAGGGTTTACAAGTGCCCCTGAAAAATACCAGTGACTCTCTATTATCCATTGGGGAAAAAATTAATATCTCTTTCTGAAGAAATAACATATTTCATTATAATTTACTAGAGGATTGTTGCAAGAAATTCTTGCACAATGGACGGTTCCCTCAGCCCAGCCTGAACCATCTCCATTTGGGTAAACATTGAGTGATGTCCAACTGCCAGCAGGGACATCAATTGGCCTAAACCGGCAGTTGGACATCCCTCTCACAATCTGGAACCTGCCTGCCTGTTCACCTGACTGCCTGCCTAATCACCCCTAACTGCCTCTGCCTGCCAGCCTGATTACCCCTAACTGCCCTCCCCTACTGGCCTAGTTGCCCTCAACTGCCCTCTCCTGCTGGCCTGATCTCACCCTCAAAGGCCCTCCCCTGCCAGCCCGATCTCACCCCCAACTGCCCTCCTCTGCTGCCAATTTGATTCTGATTTGTTGGTTTCTATGCCAGTCAGCTTCAAAAGCTCTGTGTGCTAGGCAGCCATTGGCTCTCCATAGCACCCAGATTTGGTTGTGATTGGTCAGTTTCTATGCCAGTCAGCGTCTCTCACCCTATCAATGGGGCACAATGAGAAAGGCAGTGCTGATCAACAACCCCAGTAGAGGCCTAGAAAGAAAAGGAGATGCAGCTGCTATTCAGACTAGGAGAGAAAGAGAGAGACAAGTGCTGATCAAAAGCTGCTTCAGAGGCAATGGATCAGTCCCTGCTTCTCTCTTCAGGTGTCTCTCTGGCCCTGATTTGCAGAACCCACAGCAGTCAGTACAAGGACACTGCACCTGCAGTGGAAGTAGTCAGCACTGGGTTGCCACACTTCCAGTTGGTCAAGCCTCAGTGTTTACTGATCATTACAACTCCGGGTTTTTATTATTAGGATAGCTTTCCTTCCTCTGATTCCTGTGCCACCGCCATGCCACTGTCTGCTACACACCACACTCTGACTTCACTGTTTTATAAAGAGAATATATTTCAACATGCACCACCACTTTTTTTTGGCATACACTTTTTACAATCCAGAATATTCTCTTTCCATTTGTCTACTGGCAACCTGTATTCATTTCAAGTCAAAAGAAACACACTAATCTTCTAGGTAAGCCTTCACTGTCTCTCCAGTAGACTTAGGTACCACTTCCTATGAGTTCTGAAAGATACTTTAATACAGTTTGAATTGTAGAGCAATCTGTTACTAAATATAATGCCTCTCTCTGCCTTTATTGCACAACTATCATTTCCAAGATTTATAGCTCATAATTTTCTGAAATTCACCCAATCCTAGGTCATCCAAAAACCAAAGCCTTTATAACTCATGGTGGAACCAATGGCATCTATGAGGCGATCTCCCATGGGATCCCTATGGTGGGCCTCCCTTTGTTTGCGGATCAACCTGATAACATTGCTCACATGAAGACCAAGGGAGCAGCTGTCAGATTGGACTATAACACTATTTCAAGTGCAGATTTGCTCAATGCATTGAAGACTGTCATTAGTGACCCTTCGTAAGTATTACATGATTTTTGTAAATAGTATTTATACACTAGTGGCCTGGTGTACAAAATTTGTGCAGGGGTGGGAGGTCCCTCAGCCCTGTCTGCACCCTCTCCAATCTGGGATCCCATGTGGGATCAGGCCTAAACCAGCAGTCGGACATCCCTCTTGAAATCCTGGACTGCTGGCTGCTAACTGCTCACCTGCCTGCCTGCTGGATTGCCCCAACTACTCTGCCTACTGACCTGCTCACCCAATTGCCACCACACTGGCCTTCTCATCCCCAACTGCCCCCCACCCCCGGCCTGCCTTCTCATCCCTAACTGCCCCCCCTGCCTCACCCCCATTGCCAGCATGCTTGCCCCTAACTGCCCCCCCTGCCTGCCTGCTCACCCTCAACTTGTCCCCCCTGCTGACTTGCTCACCCCCCCCCCCCACCAGCCTAATTGCTCCCAACTTCCCTCACCTCCTGGCCTGATTGCCCCTAACCTCCTCTGCCTCGGCCCCACCACCATGGCTTTATCTGGAAAGAGGTCCGGAAGGTCTCCTGGAAGGTCTCTTGTCTAATTAGCATATTACACTTTTATTAGTATAGATTGGCTATGACATACTCATAACTATAACATACCTACCAGTATTACTCTAGGACACATGTGTCAAACACAAGGCCCGCGGGCCAAATCCGTCCCGCCAGGCCTTGCAATGTGGCCCGCACCGCGCTGTCATCACTGCACTCCGCTGCGTTTCCATCACAATGACAGTTTATGACTGTTCAGTAAACCATTCGGCCCGCGATTTAGGCTGGATTTTAGATTTTGGCCCCTTCTCTAATTGAGTTCGACACCCCTACTCTAGGAGAATACGTACTTTATGCAATAGGAAGGCATCTAATACATTACATTGTATTTGTTGTAAGTAGTAGGAAATACTGTACTTGTAGCAATAGTATATACATTCTATGACTTCCTTTCCTCACTTGGGAATGGTTCCCCAGTTCTTTGAACATTTCCTGGCCCCTGATGTATTTGGAAAGAAAATATCTCTGAGTTTGGAGAAATTAAATTACAATCATGACTCTAATTCTACTGCCTCCTATACTTCCAGCCAGATAACAGGAAAACCATACCCAGGCCAGTGCCTCGTATGGCTGGGGTCCAGAGTGAGGGCCCACAGTCCAGCACTGGGCAGATGACAGTGACTGGAGGCAACTCAGGTCCGTCCTGCTGTCAGCCTGGAAACCAGGGCCCTCTGTTCCCAGCCCCTCCCAAGCCCCTAACAGGGTCCTGAAGCTGTGCCCCCGAATCTTTCTACCCTTTCCTGGCTGGGGACCAGGACACAGTCATGGCATCCCATTTTCATTAAAATGCTCAACCATGCTCGCTCCATTGGTGTCTGCAGGCTACAGAGGGGCAGACAGTGATCCTGGAGGCGCTCTCCGCCTCCAACAGAGCTCAGCCATGATGGTCCGGGATGAGAGAGCCCCGACAGGCCCCGTGGCTACAACTTAGAACTGCTGCCTTAACCGGGGACCTGGCACTGGGTGGGCAGCAGTGGAACTCCCTCCCCAGTCTATGCTGGAGTGGGTCACTGAGGTTTCAGAACCAAACTCTAAGGGCCTCCTTAAGCAGTATGGGCCCTGAGCCCGCCGGCTCTCCCTAGATCCTACCAAGGCTTGCTTCTCACCCTTGCTTCTCACTCTTGATTCTCACTCTTGTGTCTCACTCTTGCTGAAAACCTTCTCAGTCCACTTGTCATAGTAATCTCTGGTGGGGCTGAGGGGACTGGGCGCTGCCAGCTTTATGGTGGTGTGACAGTCAATTTTCATATTCCATTTTTCTATGATAGGATGGATTATTTGTCAATAATGTATCTTAGTTTCATCTCATTTTTAAGAGGCTAATTTTGACATTACTGACATAAGTTAACCCATCTTAAATCTACTTTTATTTTTGACCACACATTTACTTCAAAGTTGCATTTTAACCAGATGTATTTAATGGGGATCCATCTAGTGCAACAATTTTCTATCCAATAATATAAAGTTATGTAGATAATTATAAGGACACATTTTTTAAAAACATGTTAAAATACATAAAAGAGTGATAACTATAAGGAAAAATGATAAATTTTTTACCTAAATAAATTCAATACCTAAAATCTCTGAAACTATAAATATAATAACATTCAAAAACATTTTATTATAATCATTTAAACAGATTTTATGAAATATTATTCATATACCATAAATACCATATTAAAAATTGCATAATTCAAATATATGTAGTATGCTTACAAAGCTAGGAAACTATCAACATAATATAAACATAGGGTATTTTTGTCATCCCAAAAAGACATATCATATGCCTGATCAGTCACTTCTCATCTCTCTCACCCAAGCAAACATTGATCAACTTTCTATCTCTATAGATAGGTCATTCTGAACATTTCATAACATATCATATAATATATGATCCTTTGGAACTGGTTTCTTTCACACGGCATAATGTTTTTGTGTATATTTTTAAAATATATTTTTATTCATTTCAGAAAAGAAAGAAGAAGGAGCGAGAGATAGAAACATCAATAATGAGTACCAACCATTGATCGGCTGCCTTTTGCACACCCCACAATGGGGATCAGAGCCAGCAACACAGGCATGTGCCCTGACTCAGAATCGAATGGTGACCTCTTGGTTCATGGGTCAAGGTACATGGGTTGTTCATACTGTACAACCACTTAGCCATTTTGGCCTGTCAATAAACATATTATTTAATTTAAAAAAAAATGCAACTCTGAATGGGAATGATTGGCTTACTAGTAAGCAAATTAACTTACTTTCAATGTTGGTATCTTTGTGTTTCTTCTTTAGATATAAGGAGAATGCTATGAAATTATCAAGAATTCATCATGACCAGCCAGTAAAGCCTCTAGATCAAGCAGTCTTCTGGATCGAGTTTGTCATGCGCCACAAAGGAGCCAAACACCTGCGGCCAGCCTCCCATGACCTCAGCTGGTTCCAGTACCACTCTTTGGATGTGATAGGGTTCCTGCTGGCCTGTGTGGCAACGGCTACATTTGTCATCACAAAATGTGTTCTGTTTTGTTGCCGGAAGCTTTTTAAAACAGGAAAGAAGAATAAAAGAGAGTAGTTGTTTCAGAGGCCTGAAGCTCATATGCCTGGTAGATAGGACTTTATTCCAGCAGGAAGTTGCGATGTAAGGGTCACTGCCTCCTGTGACAACCTTACTTTTCACAACTTAGCTTCTCAGGTCAAAATTTTTTTTCAAGTGACTATCTAATTAAGAGTTGTAAATATGTCATGCCAAACATAAAAATTTATAAAAATCAAAACAAAAATAAAGCTATATGAATATATTTTTAAATTTGTTATTCTAATTGTAAAGTTATACCAAAAATTAGCTTAACTGTGTTTGAAATAATACACATGAACACAAGAATATTTAGTAGTCTATTCCCATATTAATATTAGTTTGCAAATACTCAGAATATTTTAATATTATCTTGGTGCAAAATTCAATAGTTATATCTTTTGCTAAAGAAACTATTCAAAATTAGAATTGTGCAAAATGATTTGTCCTCCTACTTCATTTTGGGAGACCACCGATGCTCCTTTGTTTTATTGTGCATCCAGCATCAGCATCACATCTTATCTAAAGACATGGAAGTCATTGCTTTCATCCAGTTTAAGTTAATTTACCTTCAAAATTTATGTGGATTGAGAAATACAACAACAGCTAATTGCTTCTTATTGTGAACTGAGCTATTTATGAAAGACTTTGGTTTTAGTAGCTAATTCTCCTTACCTCACAGCCCCCTAAAAAGATTCACCTGGTAGTTTTCACTCTCCTTTTAGTCTTTGATAATGGGTATATGTTTCCAAGTATAAGTTTGATAATCTAGAATCCATACTCTAAAGGGACTTACTGAATTTTCCTTCTCTCCAAATATGTATGTACATATATATGCCCACTTCTTATAAAACCAGGCACAGAATCACTTAGCTACTTACAGACATGGTGAACAAGTCAAGGTGTTATTTGAAGGTAGTTTGAAATAATAATTATTCCATACTAGGGTATCAGGGCATAAATTCATGCATCTTGAAAGAAACTGTTGGCTGTGAGGCTGCAGTGAGCTCAGGGGCGGTTCTTGGCCCATCCTCCATACCCCACCCAGCACCCCAGTCTCCTCTCTGCCAGCAGCCCCACTCTTGCCACCCTGCTCCCACATGCTGATGGCACTGCGTGATTGGGGCCTGCATCAGCAGCAGGTGTGAGTGAGGCCAGTTATGTAAGCATGTGCGAGTGGCAGACCTTGTGCCAGTAGCGGTTGCGAGCTTGGCCATCTTTGGCAACAGGTGTGAAAGATGACTGCCAGCCCTGATCATCCCTCAGGACCACGGGGAGGTGGAGAAGCCCTGAGCGGTGATCTGGGCTGGCAGCTGCTGGAACCCACTGAGGGCACCAACCAATCAAGGCTAGCATGCTGCACCAGCAGCGGGTGCAAGCACTGGGCAGGCCTGCAGCACTGTTGAGCTTCTGTTGTTGAGCCTCTGTCCCTTTGTTGACAGTGTTTGTCACAGCGACCAGTTGACCAGTCACTTAGGCTTTTATATACATGTATGTTGTGGTTTTTTTTAACGTTTTTATTTATTCTAGGGAGAGACAAAGGAGAAGGATAGAGAGACAGAAACATCATTCAGCTGCCTCCTGCACACCCCCTACTGGGGATCGAGCATGGGAGGAAACAATTTTTAATAACCTCCAGAGGCTTGCCTTGATGATAGCAACCACCACCTTGCCTTGGTCTGGTGCCCCCATTCCCCTACTCCACCATCCCAACACGGCCAATGCCTGCCATGTTCCACGTGTGGCCACTGGTGGTCAGCACACATCATACTGACCAGTTGTTCAGTTGCTTGGCATATTTGCATATTAGCCTTTTATTATATAGGACTAGAGGCCCAGTGCATAAAATTCGCACTTGGGGGAGGGGTCCTTTAGCCTGGCCTGCAACCTCTCCAATCTGGGACCCCTTGAGGGATGTCTGAATACCTCTCACCTACAATCTGTGACCCTGGTTCCTAACTACTCACCTGCCAGCCTGCCTGATTGCCCCTAACATCTCTGCCTGCCTGCCTGATCACCCCTAACCTCCTCTGCCTACCTGCTTGATTGCCCCTAATTGGATCTACCTGCTGCCCTCATCATCCCTAACTGCTCTCTCCTGCCAGCCTGTTCACCCCTAACCACTCTACTTGCCTTCTTGATTGCCCTCAACTGTCTCTGCCTTGGCCCCCGCCACTGTGGGGCTTTGTCTGGAAGGAGGTCCAGAATGATGTCCAGAATGTCGTTCAGCTGTCTGGTCTAATTAGCATATTACACTTTTATTAGTATAATTTAAGGTGGTAACAGTTTAATTTACATAAAATTATATAACTTCCAAATGAATAAAAAAAATTGAAAAAAATCTCAGTTTTCATTGACTTATTTTTGGTAATGCTTTTTCAGTTAAAATTAATTATTTTCTAATATCAATAGAACAACATCTGCATCTTTTGTTAAGTACAAACATGATATATGGTGTCAGATGGGCACTAGAATTATAGGGGTGATTACATCATAAATTCTATAAATGTCTAATCATTATTTTGTAAATCTTTGATATACTATATGTAAAAAGTCTCCTCTTCAAATAGTTCTCAGTTAGTAATTCAGAATAATTGTTTTCTTAATTTAGTGTTATTTCCAATTTGGTTCTGAGAGGAGGTGTGAGAAAGATACACCTACCCCAACATAATGTTGAAAAACCCATATTTACTATTTTTAATCCATGTTTAAGTCTGTTATAGTCTCATGTTTAAGTTATCAATACACATTTTTAATCAGTTTCCCTTCTTTTAAACTCTAGCTTTTGTATGTATTCTATGATTAACTGTTAGAATTATTTGCTAAAAGGAAAATTTGATCTTGTGATGTCCCTTTAAAATTTGAGTAAATAACTTTTGCCTATAAATTAAAATTGAAACCATTCTACAATACCTATCGTCTCCTACCTCAGTCTAACTTTTTTCTATAACCTACTTCCCACAACTTTCTCGGCAACCCATACGCACTGAAATGTTTTCCAAATACACATGAACTTTTTTTCATTCCTCTATTCATTGAGAAATCTGTCCTTTTGCCACACTCTGCCTAGATCCCACCAAGGCTTTCATCTCACGCAGATGTTATCTATCTCACTACCGTTGTTTCCAATTACCCAATATTTCATAATGGATTGTTTTGTCTCTGGAATTCTGAACACCCTGTACTCGTCATAAGACTCTTATCAAAATACTTCCCATAGGTGTCCAAATTGTTTGCTATTTCACATAGGGAAATGATGTGGTATATGTTTTCACCTAAACCACTTGCCATCTTCAGACACAGTGGAATGGTGGTGTTGTTATTGTTTTGTGTGTGTGTGTGTGTGTGTGTGTGTGTGTGTGTGTGAAGAGGGAGAGAGAGAGAGAGAGAGAGAGAGAGAGAGAGAGAGAGATTAACTTCAGGTGGTTCCTATATATTATTTTCCTTATTTCCAATCTAGAGTTTAAAAAAATTTCCCCAGATATTCATTTTTATCCCCCTAATAAGCATTAGCCTTCAATATAATGCAAAAACGTTTCTTTTAAAGTTAATTTTTAACTTACTATGTGTTTTTATTGCCATTTGGTCTCTGCACTGGGCAGAAACACCCTAAAACCCCAGCAGAGCAGTGTGTGGCGGAGCTGCTGTCATGTTATCTAAGAAGTGGGCTTTGGCGGTTCTGCTGCTGCAGCTCTGTGGTGCTGGCTGTGGATTCTGTGGAAAGGTTCTGGTATGGCCCGTGGACATGAGCCATTGGCTTAATATAAAGACCATTCTAGAGGAACTCACAAAGAAAGGACATGAGGTAACAGTGCTGACTTTTCCACATACTCAGCTCATAGACTACAGGAAACCTTCCCCACTGAACTTCGTGGTATTACATCCGGAATTTCCAAAAGAATTAATGGAGAAAGCACAAAACAAATTTGTGGATGTAATTTTGAATGACTTGCCAAACTTAACACCCTGGCAATCCACAGTAAGACTGAATGATGTTTTTATTGAACTAACTGGAACTCTGAAAACCCTTTGTGAGAATGCAGTCTACAATCAGACTCTCATGAAGAAGCTCCAGGGAACCAACTACAATGTAATGCTTATAGACCCTGTGATGCCCTGTGGAGAGCTGGTGGCTGAATTGCTTGCAGTCCCTTTTGTGCTCACATTAAGAGTGTCTATGGGAGGCATGAAGGAGAAACACTGTGGGAAACTTCCCACTCCCAATTCCTATGTTCCTGTTCAGATGGTGGGACTTACCGACCGAATGACCTTTCTGGAAAGAGTAAAAAATACAATGCTTTCTCATTTCTTTGACTTATGGATCCGGGATTATGACATTCATTTTTGGGACCAGTTTTACAGTGAGGCATTAGGTAAGACATTTTGCTTTTTATTTCAAACTTATCAAAAAAATTTAGAAATGTAAGTGAATGAAATCTAAGTAAATGAAAGAAATACATTTTAAAATCTCTGTCTTCCATTTAAAACTCTACCAGTAACAGTAATCAACTGGTTATCAAAATAAGTGGAAATGGGAACAAAAAATCTCTTGCCGTGGTTACTCTGTCTTTATAATCATCAAACCACTTATCATAAGAAAACTTGATATTTGTTAGGAATGTTTGTCATATTACATAAATACAGTACATTGAGTTTCCATATTAGAGGAAGTGATAGCTATTCTTGGTGAAGACAGTATAATATTTATCTTAAAAGCAAGATAGCCAATACCAGTTTGGCTCAGTGGATAGAGTGTCGGCCTGTGGACTGAGGGGTCTCAGGTTCGATTCCGGTCAGGAGCACGTGCCTTGGTTTCAGGGTGTGCAGGAGGCAGCTGATCGATGATTGTCACTCATTGATGTTTCTAGCTTTCTGTCCCTCTCTCTTCTTCTCTGAAAAAAAAAAAAATCAATAAAGTATTTTTTTTTAAATTTTAAAAGAGCAAGATAACCTACTTTTCTGATACCAGCAGTAAGCTAAAATATGATTATTAACAAATATATTATATTTAATTCACCTGTATCCACTCCCAAATTTTTTTTTATAATTAGTGATGATTACTCTCAATCTTCTACCATTTTTACTAGAACAAGGTGTCAACCATTCTTTTTTTTGTCTTTATTATTGAGAGTATTACAAATGTTTCACCCTTTATTCCCTCCTTGCTCCCAACTACCCAGTTCCCTCTACACCTAGGCCTTCACCATATTAGGTTCTGTGTTCATGGACAATGCATACCCTATATTATAAAAGGTTAATATGCAAATTGTTCCCTCAGGAGTTTGACTGACTGGGAGTCTGACCACTCACTATGACATGCACCGATCACCAGGATGGGCATGCGATGAAGAAAGGCCCCTGCAGGCAGCCAGAAACTGGGGGAAGGAAGTCCCCAGCCAGCAGCCTGAAGGCCCTGATCAGCCCTGAGAGCTGGCCAGGGCTAGGGACCCTGCCCGTGCATGAATACACATAAGTTGTTTGGTTAAACTCTTCCCACCGCCTCACTCCCCCCTTCCCTGTAAGACTCCTCAGACTGTTCCATGTTTCCATTCATTTGGTTGTATTTTACTCATAAGTGTATTGTGTCCATGAGTTTCCACATAGAGGTGACACCATGTGATATTTGTCTTCCTCTGACTGACTTATTTCGCTTAGCATAATCATTTCCAGTCCATCTGTACTGTCTCATATGGTAATAGATCCTCCTATTCCATAGCTGTATATTATTCCACTGTGTAGATGTACCATAGCATTTTTATCCATTCATCTACCAATGGGCACTTGAGCTGTTTACATACTCGGTAGCCAGGCCTCTCCACATGCTCCCCTCTGTGCCACTGCCTTTACTCCCACAGCTCCTCTGAGTCTCAGTGTGCTTTTCTCTTTCCTTTTGATAGTTGTAGAACTTCCACTCATCCAGCCTTCCTGTGGTTCTGGACGATATCTGTTTTGTCTTTTAGTTATAGTTTTGAAATCGTTGTGAGAGGCAGCAGTTCGGTTGTTTACCTATGCCGCCATCTTGGTTTCTCCCCTGAATTTTTTTCTTTTCTTTCTTTCTTTCTTTCTTTCTTTTTTTTTTTTTTTTAAATTTCTCTTTCTTATAGATCATTATTGTTGTATAAAAATACCATTGAGCCTGGCAAGTGCAGCTCACTGGTGGAGCATTAACCTATAAAGCACGAACTCACAGTTCTATACCCAGTCAGAGCACAAGCCCAGGTTGCAGGTCCATCCCACAGAAGTGGGTATGCAGGAGGTTATCAATGATTCTCTTTCATCATTGATGTTTCTCTCTCTCTCAACCCCTCTTCCTTCTCTGAAATCAATATAGTTGCTAGAACTTCTAGTACTATATTGAAGAGTCGTTAAAGCAGATATCTCCATCTTATATTTATTCTTAAGGGAAATGGTTTTAGTTTTTGCCAACTGAATATGATATTGGCTGTACATTTGTCATACATGGCCTTTATTATGTCAAGGCATGATTCCTCTATTCACACTTTGCTGAGAGTTTTTATCAAAATTGTGTTAGAGGTTTTCCAAACACTTTTTCTGCATTTATTGATATAATCATGTCTTTTTTTTCTTTAAATTTGTTTATGTAATGTATAATGTTTGTTGATTTGTAAATTTTGTACAACCTTGAATTCTGGCATAAATCCCACTTGGTCATGGTGTATGATCTTTTTAATATGCTGGTTAGTCTTATTTGCTATTATTTCATTGAGTATTTATACAAGTTCATTATGGCTGGCTGTGAAAAAGATTCCTAGGATACTTTATATTTGGGGGGAGAATGCTACACAAAAACTGAAAAAATAATTAGGAAATCCTAAAAGATTTTGTATCTTGAGAAGTTAAAGAGAACCAATAATTAATAGGTTGATATATACCTATTGAACCTATTTTTAATATTTTCCTTTTGTGCTTAAAATGCTTTTATTTGCAATTTCATACACTTAGCTGAGATCTGAGTCAGTCAACTCAGACAGGCTTCTACTTCAACTATCTTTGAGAAGCACAGATAAGAACAAACAAACAAAAGATCATATCTCGCACTAAATATATGATCTGATCTAATTCACAGAATATCAAATTGGTTCACAGAACTAATGTTCAAGGAAACCAACTTTTAAAAAAACCTTTGAGCACAGCTGATGTGGCTCAGTGGTTGAGCATCAATCTATGAGCCAGTTTGGTTTTGGGTATGGGCCTGTGCCTGGTTTCAGGCTAGATCCCCAGTGTGAGGCATGTAGGGGGAGCCAATCAATGATTTTCTCATCATTGTTGTTCATTCTCTCTCACTTTCTCTCTACTCCTCTTTGAAATCAATAAGATAAATATATATATATATATATATATATATATATATATATATCCTTTTATATAACCATGATTTAAACTCAAATGTAATGAATTTCTATAATTAATTACCTCTATAATCATTATGCATGCTGGACCACACTACTTATAGGCCCTATAAATACAGGGGGAGGAAATAAAAAAAAATCTTTGCTCAAAACTACCCTCAGTGGTAAATAAAAACTATAATATGTCACTGCCACATTTTTTAAAATATATTTTATTGATTTTTTACAGAGAGGAAGGGAGAGAATAGAGAGTTAGAAACATCAATGAGAGAGTATCAATCAGCTGCCTCTTGCACACACCCCACTGGGGATGTGCCTGCAACCAAGGTACATGCCCTTGACCAGAATCGAACCCGGGACCCTTCAGTCAGCAGGCTGACACTCTATCCACTGAGCCAAACTGGTTTCGACCACTGCCACGTTTTGGCATGATAAGATTATGAATAAAGACCTATGAAAAGCCTCAACTTGAGGGAAAGGACTGAAGCATTATATAAGAAGGAGAAAAAGAGCTTCAATCAAACAAAAATTGTACTAAGAATGTATCAAGCAATAAGTCTTTAAAATTAAAAACCATCCCACTTAACTCACTTAAACTAACAGATTCATTTAATAATAATATCTACTTTGTACTTAAATTTAACACATTAGTCTAACCCACAAAACATACATATATTTAGAATTATCCATTTTTATTATATAACTCAATTTTATGTAAATTATATAACTAAAAAAGGGGGTACTTGCCTATTTTATTTCAGTTTTATGTCCATAATTCCTCATATGTAACATTTCAAATACAATTTGTGAAATTATTTACAGTTTGTTTTATATTAAATTCATTTTCATTCTCTTTCCATTTATTCCTTCTGTACCCATTATTGTGAATCATTACTTTAAATGTAGAATTTTCCTAATTGCTTTAAGTTGTTTTTCTAAAATGAAACTAAGGCCATATAAACTTAACCACTTAAGCAGAAAAATGATTAATTTAAATAAGATGATGACTAATAAAAATATCACCTTTGGGTTTGTAATCAAGGTAGGATATGAGTCTCAAAAAAGGTAGACATCCAGAAGGTAAAAATACATTAATTCAGAAGCAAAGGAATGGAATTCTAATCTAATCTCTGGCAATTTCAAACTGAATATCTTTAGTCAAAGCTTCTTCCTTATCAAATTTCATCTTTTGGACTAAATAATCTCACATTAAAAAAGTAATGACTATAAAATGAGGCTTTCCTCCCTGGGTTTATGTCACCATCAACTTTAATTAAAATCCTAAAGTGAAAAGGATTCTCACCTGTTTTTGTCTCCTTCCTCTCAGTTATAAAACATGCATTTTTCATAAACAGAAATTAATGACTTGGTTATTTGCAATTAGTCATTCTTCTGCATAAAAACCTAAAATTAATACCCTAAATATCCTTTAAAACACATCAGTAAGGGAGCTGTAAAATAAGACAGCAGTAAAAAGGTGTGTGACTTTATACCTCACTAACATCACTGCATAAATCCTCTAAACAAAAAATCAGCAAAGAAACATCAATCCTATATGACTTAGCAGATCAGATGAAATTAATTGATATCTTCAGAATACTTCACCTCAAAGCCACAGAATATACATTATTGGAAGTGCACATAGGTCATTTTCAAAGATAGTCCACATATTGGGACACAGGCAAAGTCTCTTCAAATTCAAGAGGATAGAAATCATATAAAGTGAAAAGGATTCTCACCTGTTTTTTCCCCTTCCTCTCAGTTATAAAACATGTATTTTTTATAAACAAAAATTAATGACTTGGTTGTTTGCAATTATTCATTCTTCTGGATAAAAATCTAAATTAATGCCTTAAATACCCTTCAAAACACATCAGTAAGGCAGCAGTAACGACAGCAGTAAAAAGGTTTGTGATGACTATAGTATGTATTTATGTATCACATATTCCAAAAAGAGGGTCATCATGATTATGAATTACTCATGGGGTTCTTACTAATAAAATAGTGTTCCATGAATTAAAGTGAGGAAATATAACTCAGAAGAATGAGGTCGATTGATATTGATGGGATTCTATAACAATATGAGTAATCCTGAAATTAAAACATGCTGGAGAGAATATGGACATATTCCTGACTAGAAAACTAGAAACCATTGAGGGGTGGTTGGTGCAGATATTGTGGAACTAATCTATTAGCTGCCATTCAGTTGGAGAGAAAAAAAAAAGCAAAAAATTAATTAGCAGTTTAGAGTTGTGTTTAAATGTTAGCTTTCTTATATTTTGTAAAAATAAACTTACAAATAATCTATTTTTTTCTTTTTTTACTTTCTCTTGTCTTGCTTTCAACTTTACTTATTTTTCTCTTTCTTTTTTTATTCAATTTTATTGTATTAATGCCCCTTTTCATTTCACATCTAAAAGCCATATTATTCTAGAAGACCTAAACTTAATTTTTCCTTGATAACCATAAAGTTATTGGGGCAATTTTCCCATTTAACTTATAGTCTAATTTTTCTAACCAACTTTTTTTTTCCAGGAAGACCCACTACATTATGTGAAACTTTGGGGAAAGCTGAAATTTGGTTAATTCGAACATATTGGGATTTTGAATTTCCTCGTCCATACCTACCTAATTTTGAATTTGTTGGAGGATTACACTGCAAACCTGCCAAACCATTACCTAAGGTAAGACTACAGCATTGATGGACTTTATGTACCTTATGATATGATACCTGATTTTCTTTTAAAGCTTGTAGACTTGGTAACAGAGACATGATGTTGAATATCATTGGATGGCCAATTCTATTTCCATGCTAGAGGGTTCTTGTGAGTTATTTATTGATATTTTAGGTATTATATTGGGAAATCAGGCTGGGGAAAAATGGCATGATTGAAGCAAATCTTAAAAATCATTGTTTTTACAATATGGATAATTGATAGGAGCAACTGGAAACCGTAGCCATTGAAAATCACTAAGGACACTGCTGCAGTATTCTTCACAAGCATGATAAAGTTATGAAAATGGGTATATATTATGATGGCTGAGAGATAAACATGCTTTCATGAGACACTAAGATAAGTTCCACACTATTTGCTAGGTGAGAGGGGAAGTAAGAGTTAAAGGAAGAGAAGGAAATTATGGATTTTCATTTTGAATGTTTGATAGTGATGGCTTCTACTGAAATAGAAAACATAAGATAAAATGTATTTGAGACTAATACAATAAGTTCTATATTGTGACTATTTACTTAAAGGAACAAGCTAAATTTTCAGGTAGAATTTTCTAGAAGTCATTTGGGTAATATGTGGTCTCAAGCTCAACACACAGCAAAGAAAATATTGGAGGTCACCAGCATAAGAGTTCAGGAAAATGAGAGACCCAATCTTGACTTGATCCTTTACCAACCTGATGACAGGTTTATTTTGGAATTTTAATACTATTAAATTTTAACACTATTTAATTTTTAATACTATTAAAAAGATAATTGTATACCACATTCTTAAGTCTTCAAAGAAAAATGTAGAATGTCAGGAATGTTAAAACAGTACTGTATTGAGAAACAAATGAGTAATAGATAAGCATTATGTAGGTACTGTGTGGAACTATCAATAGTGAGTGAAGAGGAAAGCCCATATTTATTTGTACTGTGAGAATATTTTTTAAATCTTTTTAGGAAGTTTTCAGGCTACATAAAGGGGGTTGGGGATGGGGGAAGGAGGAAGAGACATACTTCTAGTTATAAAATAAATGAACCATAAGAATTTAATGTACAGCATAAGGAATATGGTCAATAATACTTTGGCAGTGAGATGGTTACTAGATGGTTATCACACAGTAAAATTTATAAATGTCAAATTACTACATTGCACACCTGACACAACTATAACATAGTATGTCAACTATACTTCAATAAATTTTTTTAGTTATTTAGGGGGAAAGCTTGGGAGAATATGGTAAAAAAAAAAAAAGTTAAGAAGAGATATAAATTATTATATCTGTGTGGAACTATCAATAGTGAGTGAAGAGGAAAGCTCGCATTTACTTGTACTGTGAGAATATCTTTTTAATATATATTTTATTGATTTTTTACAGAGAGGAAGAAAGAGGAATAGAGAGTTAGAAACATCAATGAGAGAGGATCATCGATCAGCTGCTTCTTGCACACCCCCCACTGGGGATGTGCCTGCAACCAAAGTACATGCCCTTGACCGAAATTGAACCCAGGACCTTTCAGTCCCCAGGCAGATGCTCTATCCACTGAGCCAAATCGGTTTCAGTTGTGAGAATATTTTAAAAATCCCTTTAGGAAGTTTTCAGGGTACATGATATTCCTAGGAGAATTCTTGATTTATTTTACAGAGGGCTCTTAGAAATGGAAGGCTTCGGCATGAATCAGTATCCAGAAACTTTGATTTGCAGGGTCTGGCATGGAGCCAGAGCAGATGCTGGAAAGACAGGCAAAGATTTCAGAAAATCCTCATTCTGAGAATAATCCCACAGATAGTGGTGAGAGGATTGTCAAAACTGAGAATATTAATGCAGAAAAAATCATCAAAACAGAAAGTGGATCTGCAGTCTTTGCCAATTGTACCTACCTCATCAGATTGTTATGCCTATCTTATTACAGAAAATTGCTATACTTTCAAAGGGAAGACTACCAAATCCTTTTGAATTTCTAGCATCGTATCTTTAAAAAAATAAAATAAAATAAAATAAGTCAGAGTTGGAAGATAGAAACTGACTTTTTGGGAAGAACAGAAAAATTTGGTGTCTGCCCTAGCCAGTTTGGCTCGGTGGATAGAGCGTCAGCCTGTGGACTGAAAGGTCCCAGGTTCGATTCTGGTCAAGGGCATGTACCTTGGTTGCAGGCACATCCATAGTGGGAGGTGTGCAGAAACAGTTGGTGGATATTGCTCTCTTATCGATGTTTATATCTCTGTCCCTTCCACTCTGTAAAAATCAATAAAAAATATGTATATATATTTAATGGTTTCTGTGATTAAGAGGTAGCTTTAATTGTCATAATCTCCCCCCCCCCTTTTTTTTGAAGTATAAGAAACTTCAGAATAACAGTGTATTACTGGAGTTGCAGAAGAAAACGTATTTCACTTATATTTATTTAATCACAATACTTATTTAATGAGTGTATTCTGTGCAATTTTTTTCTGATTGTTCTTAAATTTGTTTTTTAAATCACCTTTCAATAAACTTTTAAAACATCAAAAAAGGCAAAAAACAATGATGGCAGGTCTTCCAATCAAGTACACATACACACACACACACACACACACAAACACAAACACTAGTATATACATTTTATTCAAACTCCACGTGTTTGGGAAGGTGAATCAAAATAATAATAAGATAACTTCTGTAGTGTCAAATATGTCCTTCTAATATTAATGAAGCTGACATAGTCAACTTTGATATCTCTTTTCTGGTCATTTAATAGTCTTTAATTGGGGAATACATGACTCCATGTTGACACAAAAGCTGTCACAAGGAATATATGATTGGCAAATAAACCCAACCAAGATGTCTAGAGTTTCCCATGGCCAAGTTGCACAACTCTAAATGGTGAGGCAGTTTAATTTACAGAAGTACCTATGCATCAACTCGGTGCTAAGGCTGAAATTGAAAACATGTAGCTAGTGTCCACTAAGTTGGGAGTTTTATACATCAGAAGGCAAGTAATTACTATCTTCTGAAAGTAATTTATGATTATAGAGCTGTTTAAATATGTTATATCCCTTTTTGCAATACATTACTATTACTATATATCACAATTCTAACAATTATCTGCTTAGGCATATTAATAAAGGAAGACTTGAACATGAGAAAATTACCAATAAAGCCATATATTAAAAATAGGCAGATCAAAACACTAATGAATTATTAGATGTAATATGTGAAATGCCTAATTCAGACTCATTTGGGAGCTTTCTTTTCAAGAATATTTTTATGAGCTTGTAAAGTACTCATTTTTTTAAAAAATTAAACATGGTGAGTAACATGAAAGTCCATTAACCATGAAATATACTGTATTCTTACCACCTCTGATATAATGGTTTGGTTCTACTTATCACCTCTGATATAATGGTTTGGTTATTCACTAATCAATTATATGTATTGTAAGCCATAGATTTTTTTTACATGCCCTAATTAATAAAAGAGTAATATGCAAATTAACCATCACTCTGCTACATTCACAAGGCACACCTACAAACCATACCCACCAGCCAATCAGAGAAAGTATGCAAATAAACCCAACAAAGATGGCTACAGCCACAGAGAGCAGGAGGGAGGCCTGGGTTTCCCAGGCAAAAAAGGAAGCCAAGCTGTCTGTCTGCCCTTGCCAGTCTAAGCCTCCACTCAAGGCTACAAAGTTTCAATTATAGAAGGTAAACAAATCCAAACAGAAATGATGGTAGCCATGGAACTGGAAAGAGCAGGAGGCTAGGATTGCCCCTGCCAATGGAGGAAGCAAAGCTTTCCACACACCCTGGCCAGCCTAGGACTACACTCTAGGCTACAAAGTTTAAATTGTAGAAGGTAAATAAATTCCAGATACCAGGGCTTCTACTTAGGTCACCAGGGGGCGTGGCTGGCCTGCAAACCACCACAGGCCCCTCACTCAGGCCACCCTACAAACCAAGGGAACTCCCACCCTGACCTGGGACACCATTCAGGGCAAATCATCTGGCCCCTACTCGTGCACCAGGCTTCTATCTTATCTAATAAAAGAGTAATATGCAGATTGACCATCACTCCAACACACAATATGGCTGCCCCCATGTGGTCAAAGGTCCTGCCCCTATGTGGACACAAGATGGGCACAACAAGATGACAAGCAGGGAAGGGAAATTGAAAGAGCCCTGCAAAGGAGGGCAGTTGGAGGTGATCAACCCTGCAGCAGAGGGCAGTTAGGGATGACCAGGTCAGCAGAAGAGGGAAATTGGGGGCAAACAGGCTGGCAGGGGAGCAGTTAGACATCAGCTAGGAGTGGTTAGGGGGTGATCATGCTGACAGGCAGAAGCAATTAGGGTCAATCAGGAAGGCAGGCAGGTGAACGGTTGGGAGACAACAGTCCTGGATTGTGAGAGGGATGTCCGACTGCCCATTTAGGCTTAATCCCACCAGGGGTCCCAGATTGGAGAGGGTGCAGACTGGGCTGAGGAACACCCCTGCCCCCATGCACAAATTTTGTGCACTGGGCCTCTAGTTTATTATGATTATCTTCATTGGGATGACATTGGTTAATAAATTTATATAACTTTCAAGTGTACAAATCTATGATACATTGTCTGTACATCGCCTTATATATTTCCTCTTAAAGAGAGTAGGTGCTTCTAAATATCAAAGATTTTTTAAAAATCTAACCAGGCCTCTGACAATTCCCTTGAATCTTTATTTTAAAAGTATAAAAGAGTTGTATTATTCCCCATAATACAAAGAATTGTTTCTCTACAGGAAATAGAAGAATTTGTCCAGAGCTCAGGCAAAGATGGTATTGTGGTGTTTTCTCTGGGTTCGGTCATCCAAAATCTCACAGAAGAAAAGGGCAATCTTATTGCCTCAGCCCTTGCCCAGATTCCACAGAAGGTTAGTACAACCTTTAATCCTGCTGGGCTTGTGTCTTTCCCACTGAAAGTTGAATCTCATTTTACACATAACATATCAGGTACCAGTATTAAGTAAAAATTTGTGAAACATTACAATAGTGAGTGTAGGGATATTTGAACCTTGCTTGCTGAGCTTTGCTGTTACAGTCATTTGTATTCAATGAAATAGAGATGAAAACATTAAGCACTATTTTTCATGAAATCTTAAGGTCTGTTCTAACTACTCCCAAAATACTTCTGAAGTGCATTTACTCCAGGACCAGAAAAAGGGAGAAATGAAATCACAAACATAGGTATGAAGGCAGTATAAAAATATCCTCCATGTCTTTGTTTGTATTTGGATTTGATTCATCATAGTTGAGCACAGAAGTAGAATCTAGATTCATTTAGAATTTTAATTAACATTTTCTAGAATTAAAAGTCCATAGAAATGTTAATATAGTCTAGCAATTTTCATGTCCTAACATGATAATCAACTAATTTTAATGTTATCATCACCATCTTAGATTACAGCTCTTTATATATTGCTATTTATAAAACATCGAACAGCTCTTTTTATTTCTATATTTGGTTAAATCCCTTAAAATTCTGTAAAAGTCATATATAAATGCAAATATGATAATTGCAGAAACCAAACCAAACAGAATACTTCACCAAACTTTGAAATATAAACAAAAGCACTACCTTATTTTTGCTTTAAATAAAAAAAGTTGTGGGAGAAAAAAGAAGATAGAAAGAAATGGAGGATGAAATGATAACCAGTCATCCAAAAAATAAGTAGCCAAAATCTAAAGCAATGATATTTGTATAAAACACAATTATGAAAATAAAGTTAAGATTTCCAGTGACAAAAATTTGTACAGAGGTCCCATGGCCATAAAAATTTTAACTCTGATTCATTAGGTTAGTATGGCATTATTTTCTAATCCTTCACTTCCAATCTCACTACTGGAAGTTCCCAGTGATAATAGACAAAATGATAACTGGCAACTATCACAAACTCTTTTAAAAAGGTTGCTATAAACAGTCCCACAATTTCTTAGTGTTTATAAAGTACACGTCTATACTCCCTTCTCAACTATCACCTAAAGTAGAGTAGATGCATGATGTATACAAACTCTACAACCTTAAAACATCATTATCCTGAGGTATTACTTGTGAAATATATTCACTGTCTTCCACAGGTTTTATGGAGATACAAAGGGAAGAAACCAGCCAAATTAGGAGCTAATACTCAGCTCTTTGACTGGCTACCCCAGAATGATCTTCTTGGTAAGACTAAAGGAAGAAAGGCTATATAGTACTTGGTGGATAAGTTGATTAATTTTTTAACAGGTAATAATAACATAAAAGCTAATATCAACAAATAGTTAATAGTAAATATTTTCCATTTTACCTCCCAATTGATAAAAATATAATTAAATATTTGGCCATTAATTTTATAGATTCATAGTTGTTATGAAATTAGTTTAAAGTTTCAGGCAACACAAGATGGAATTAATGCCTCCTTTTTCTGGGATAACAATTTTCTGTGGTAGCAATGCCCCACAGGAAATATTGTAGAAAATACTGCCTTCTTCAGTAACTTGTCCTGTATCTTCCTCTTCTGTCTCTAAATTTCTGTTCATGCATTATAATAAAATTTTCACCTGCTTCTCATTCTATCCACAAACTAGGTCATCCAAAAACCAAAGCTTTTATCACTCACGGTGGAGCCAATGGCATCTATGAGGCAATCTACCATGGGGTCCCTATGGTGGGAGTTCCCATGTTTGCTGATCAGCATGATAACATTGCTCACATGAAGGCCAAAGGAGCGGCTATGGAGGTGAACATGCACACAATGACAAGTGCTGACTTGCTCAAGGCCGTGAGAACAGTCATTAATGATCCTTCGTAAGTACTACTTCCAGGATCACCACTGATTGGTAATAAGCACCAGACTAGAAAATGTTAGAGATCATGCTTAGCTATTAATGGATCTTTTCCCATAATGTTGGACCATTTATGATCTTGGTGGGGGAAATATTCTGGAAAGCACATTTCATTCAATGTCATCCTACCAACTCAGAAAAATTAAGCTTCAATTAACAACATTTTTATTCTTATTATTTTTTCTATCCCCCTATTTATCCACATTATGTTAAATGAATATTTATTTTACCAACTCCCTACTATACGTGTTAAATCCTATATAATCAGCAGTGTTCATGTAACAATTTTTTGGCCCTTGCATTAATTTTTATAACATGTATCATGTGACAAACAGAACTAAATTTCATTCATTTCTTTCTCTTTTGCCTTCTAGCTATAAAGAGAATGTGATGAGATTATCAAGGATTCACCATGATCAACCTGTAAAGCCTCTAGATAGAGCAGTCTTCTGGATCGAGTATGTCATGCGCCACAAAGGAGCCAAACACCTGCGGCCAGCTGTCCACAACCTCACCTGGGTCCAGTTCCACTCTTTGGATGTGATTGGGTTCCTGCTGGCCTGTGTGGCATCTGCTATATTCTTGATCACAAAATGTTGTTTATTTTCTTGTCGAAAATTTGGTAAAGCAGGAAAGAGAAAAAAGAGAGAATAGATCTTTCCAACTTAGGCAAAGACTTGAATGGACAAACCTGTTTATTCCTGCACCTCCTTCTTGTTTTCAATTTTTAAATTCCTCTTTTTTTAGCCTAAAGAAACAGCCTAGAATTCCACAAGATCATTAACTGATGAGCATGTCCCATTCTTCCTTTATAGCCTCAGGTATGTTTACCCTCTTCCTCTTTATCCACATTCTGGCACTGGTATATTAACAACTCTAAAATTCTGTTCATGATAGAACTATATTAATTGTATAACCTTCAGTGTTATGATGATTGCTGGAGATAACAAAATATGAGCCCAATTTTATGAATGTGGGAGCTGAGAATTATACAGTTCACCAGTTCCAACTGATCATATAAATATGGACGTGTCATCAAAAATTAGTTTGCTATGAAAATAAGATTTCTATTTTAAAAAAGGCTCTTTACTTGTCCAATATTGTTAGGATTAGGCCAAAATTGAAAATAATGATAAGACATTCTGCTTCAGAATGTTTACAAAGTTTCCATAAAGCTCAGCATTAGTCTGCTCAGGTGCCATAACAAGGTACTGCAGACTCAGCAGCATAAGAAATAGAAATTTATTTTTTCACAATTCCGGAGGCTAGATGTGCAAGATCAAGATGTCAGCAGGGCCTGGCTCCAGTGGTTCAGTGGTTGACTTATGAATTAGGAGGTCACTGTTCCATTTTCATCAGGGCACATGCCTGGGTTGCGTGCTCAATTCTCAGTAGGGGATGTGCAGGAGGCAGCCAATCAATGATTCTCTCATCATTGATCTTTCTATCTCTCTCTCCCTCTCCCTTCCTCTCTGAAATCAATATATAGTTTTTTTTTTAAGATGCCAGCAGTTGCTTTCTGCTGAGGCTTCCTTGCTGCCTGCAGAGAGAAGCTTTCACCCTGTGCCCTCTCATGGCCTTTCCTCTATATGCACCTGATAAGAAAAAGATGCCTATGTCTCTTCTTCTTATTACAAGGATGCAGTCCTTAAAGTCCACCTTCATATCTAGGTTAATTGTAAATATCTTGTTAAAGGTCTTATTTCCAACTACAGTCACATTGGGAGTTAAGGGTTCAATGTATAATACAAATTTGAGAGAGGTACACAATTCTGTCCATAACAAGCTTTACCAAACAATTATGCCTGTTTTTGTCCTTAATCAACAAACATTTCTGTGTGCCCTTTATGTACTAGGGACAGTTCTGAGCATGTCTTTAGACAATAAAGATAAGCAATGCAATGATTTATTTTCCCCAATAAGTTAAAATGTCAGGAATGTTTTAAAAGTTAAGAGATTGTCTTAAGAGAAATAAATTAAAGAATTATAGAAAAATTGTTTTATTAATTTTAATGAGATTTTTAAAGACCCATACAATTGATAAACTTAAAGTTAAATGTTATATTTAAAAATCACTGGTATCATAATTTAAGTAAAACTCCGTAATAATAAAAGCATAATATGTTAATTAGACCAGACGACCTTCCGGATGAAGCTGGTGGCCAAAGGGAAGCCTGGGTCCCAGGTGTCAGAGGGAAGCGGGTGCCAACAGCCAGGGGAAGGAAGACCTACTCTTGCACGAATTTCATGCATCTGGCCTCCAGTACTATACTATATTCAAAGAAATCATTTCTGGCGGATAAAAAGTCATCTATTCTAAATGTAAGATCATTGTAATTTTTTCCAGTCTCTATTTTCCACAAGTATAAATTCAAAACATATGGTTTCAGTCATATGTGGAATATAAAACAAAAAGTAACAAATAAACAAATATAACAAAACATAGAAAAAAGAAAGACTCATAGCCCAGACGGCGTGGCTCAGTGGTTGCTCATTGACTCATGGGCCAGAAGGGCATGATTTGATTCCCAGTCAGGGCACATGCCCAGGGTTGTGGTCTCGATACCTGGTATTGGATGTGCATGAGGCAGCGATCAATGATTCTCTCTCTTTACTGATGTTTCTCTCTATCCTTTTCACTTACTCTCTGAAATCAATAAAAATAGATATGTATTTTTAAAAATTCATATAAAGATACAACAGACTAGGAATTATCAGAGGGGGAAGGGTGGGGGAAGGGCAAAATGGTAAAGGGGATCAAATGTATGTTAACAAATAGGAACTAGACTTTTGGTAGCAAGTATGTAATAGAGTACACAGATACCAAATTATAATGTAGTTGTCCACCTGAACTTTATATGTTATTAACCAATGTTATCTAAGTTTAATAAATAATAAATAAATACTAAATAAATCTTTGACAAATCCTAATATAGGAATCTTAGAATTTGGGAACAATGACACACCATATTTTCCTGACTATTTTGCATTTGAGAAACAGCTCCTGGATTTTTACTGAGCTCTGGTAGAGATTAAATGGATGAGATGCAGATGAGTAGCTGACAAGGATAAAGGGAACCTTCTGTGTTTGGGTTACCTGTTTCTTGGGTCTTGCCATCAGGATAGGGGGAGATGTGGCAGGTCAAGGGGTAACCAGGTTGACGAGCCTGCCACCTTGCTACCTGATTTCCATTAGATTCTGGCACCACTGTCCTGTGACTAGGATATCAGAGAGATATATCCTGTCACCAGGCTATTCAGTAATGCAAAGCAGGGGGAGCACCTCTGCAATCTGGGGAGGGAGCCAGATTCATGGGCTCTAGGGCAGATGCTGCCCCTCTTATCCTCCACCCGTGGTGGTGTCAAAGTTACTCCCTGACACTTTCCCCCCTTATTGCATTTGCTGGGTCTGCCAGCTCATTTGTGGAAAGCCATGAAACCGGAATGGTATGTACCTTCCCCGTCCTTCCCCGACTTGCCTCCCTATACATTCCAATACACCCACCTTCAGTTACAAATATAACAAATGAGTGGATCCCACAGGTTCCCTGGTGAGCAGAGAAATCTTTGTTAGGTTATATACAACCAACTTATTGTGGATTTAAGAGAAGGTATAGGGGATCATCAAACTTTGCCATGTTGCTGACAATAGTATTTCTATCTGCCACAGACAGCACCTAAAATAATATGTTCTAAGTCATAATAAATTAATGCTTCCAGGACATTCAGTAGATAACACTAATGTCCTAGATGAACTGAAAAAATGTAACTTACAGATTACTTCTTGAATAGGTTATGCTCACCTAGGAAACTCAGAATAACTCAGTTTCCCTGTGATTAACAATGTTCCTTCCAAATGATCCAAATACAGAAATTTTAATGAAAAGTGTGGATAATAAAGGAAACAAAGAGAAATGATGAGGCATCCAGAGAAACTAACAGCAGTGACAGAAGGTATTTGATTATTATTAACTGAGTTAGTGAATGAATAATGAATACTTATATTTAAAAGACAGACAGAGGCTACAATAACAGAAAAAGAAATTCTGAATACAACAAGCAAAAGGTAAGTGGAAAATCTGAAGTGTATAATTCAGGAACCATAGTAATAATTTTAGTAGATAAAGAATAATAGCAATAAATTCTAGGCAATGTAAACAAAACTACTGATACATTTTTATCTGATTTCAGAGTTTGTTTCTGAACCTGGTATAACTTCTTTCAGGGAAATAGTGGGACAGAAACTACATTACAATATGGGAGATAAATAAGATAAGAAAAGAGAGGATGAGGGCCTGTGCTGGGAGGCAGGAGCCAGCTGGGAGAGGTTAATGGGGGGAAAAGAAGACATATGTAATATGTAAAACTTTCAGCAATAAAGAATTTAAAAAATAAGTAAGGCAAAATGCATAGACAATTCTCATAAAGTAGCATTCAGGAAGTAAACTGATGGTGAATGGGAAAGGAAGGTAACATGAAGACTGAGAAAAGTAGGCATCAAGATCCATATATATATTTTATTTTATTTCATAACACTGTTAAGTGTGAAATGCTTAGCATAATTTTAAGTACTCTAAATAAATGAATTCAAATAATTCTTACAGTAATTATTATTAATATGCATGTTTTACAGATAAGAAAACTGAGGTACAAATAGATTAAATAATATTCCCAATGTGATATTATTGGCTAGTGGTTGAGGAAGGATTTTACCATAAGCAGACAGAACCAAGAGTAACTATTGTTATTATTAAGTTACATATAGCTCATTTATGAATGTCTGCCTTTTACTGTAAAAGTACCCATAAAGTGGAGAAGATGAAGATATAGAAAGTAATACAATAAATAAATAAAGGACCTGAGGTTGACTGGTCTTATCAGGAGTAAAGGATTTGATGCTTCATTCATGTAAATGGAGAAAAAAATAAAGATAATCATATGTGTAGAAAAGTTTATAACATTTAGGGAGGAAGTAAATAGTTTGATTCCATACAAAAATGGGACAGCATATAAAATTTCCTCTTTCTTTCAATATTCCTTCAAGTTTTATGTATATTAAAATGTTTTTAGTCTGGCTTGCATGGCTCAGTATTTGAGTGTTGACCTATGAATCAGAAGATTATAGTTTGATTCCTGGTCGGGGCACATGCCTGGACTGTGGGTTGGATCCCCAGTATTGGGTGTGCAGGTGATAAATGACGAATGAATCTCTCTCATCATTGAAGTTTATACCTCCCTCCCTCTTCGTTCCTCTCTGAAATCAATAAAAATATTTTTAAATGTTTTCAAAGTCAAGCTACACATCACCTATGTTTTACTTAGGCTAAACTCACTTTGTTCATCCAATCAGCAGCATGTTAAAACCTGCCTTCGTTGGAGAACTGTGTCCCTCCTGTTTCACTAGGTGTGCCTCTAGGCTTTGGGAGTCACTCCCTATTCCCCTTTCTCCATCCTTGCTCACACTGCTCTTTCTCCATAGTCAGCCATCCTCTTTGATGATGAGAGAAGCTGTTTCAGTAGCAGTCACTGCTTATTGTATGAGGAGAAGTCCTAGAACCCAGGCTACTGTTTTGTTTTATAGCTCTAAGAATGTGTATTAAGTGGCATATTTTTTAAAATATATTTTTATTGATTTTGTACAGAGAGGAAGAGAGAGAGATAGAGTTAGAAACATCAATGAGAGAGAGTCATCGATCAGCTGCCTCTTGCATACCCCCTACTGGGAATATGCCCGCAACCAAGGTACATGCCCTTGACCGGAATCAAACCCGGAACCCTTCAGTCCCCAAGCCGACGCTCTATCCATTGAGCCAAACCGGTCTTGGCTTAAGTGGCATATTAAACTACAAAAAACAATAATCTTTCTCCCATAATCCTGTATTTTTCCCATTGCTTCTCTAAAATGTCAATGCAATCTCATGTCTCTTCAGGATAATCCTGAAATTTTTGTCAAAAATAAATTCATTTTAAAACTCATAACACCTTTTCCATTTTCCTAACTGCAGTCCATACTGAGAGCTTGCTTGTTGTCCTTACTTGTTTCTTACTACCTAGCCACTGGAAAAGCAAATAAAGTACCAACATTGGCCATAGAATAACAAATACCATTACACTAGAAACTATAAAGAGGAAATCTTTGTGCCTTGCTTTGGAGTTGCTCATTTGGAGCATATATGCCATATTTTACATAAAAAACAGATCTGAACCCTAATTCCTTCTCCCATCTCTGGCTGGTGAGGTGAAGTTGTGTGACTTTGCAACTGTGGCAGTT